TTTTTAATGGAAATATTTTGGCGGCAAGGCTGGTATCTGTGCACTCTGGATGCCTTGCTTCCCCAGCCGGCACTGTGCAGGATGGGAGTCGGAGCCTCATGAAGGGAGGGCAAAAAAGGAGTTATCCAGATCTCAATCAGGTGTTGCTCAATTTTTAGAACAGTAAAATGTGGAAGCTGGGAAGATGTCATAAATTTATGTCAAAGCAGGGCAGATACACATGGGGAAGACTAGTGAAAGGGAGAAGGGGAACTGGGAGAAAAAGGACTGTGTTCCTGCACCTTTCCTTCCCTCCTTTCTCTCTTCCCATCCATCTGCTGCCTTGCACATCTGAAGTCTCTGACCCCCTAACCCTGCTTCTGTGTTCTCACCGCACTCACTCTTTCTCTCCCTCTTGCATATATGGGATCAGAAAGGCTGTATTTGGTATGCATGATCTCAGGGTCTCTCTTGTCCTCCTGCCTAGGTGTGTTTTGAGAGACCTGCAGTGCCCACCTCCCTCCTGGTCTTCCTGGCCTCCGATGGCACCATCCCAAGCAACCAGCACAAGCCAAGGGTCAATGTCCAACTGAGTTACATAGATGGGCTGAACCGCTCTTTGGGTGAGCAATCTATGGGCTGTAGTACCAGTCTCTGTCGTCCCAGCAGAGACATCAGGATTCCCCACCATTGCCACACTGTCTCACTGAATTGGGTGCTGCTATCCCCTATTCCCCCTTGCAGAATCTTCTGCTTCTCAAGCTGGTCTGTTGGGGTGTGTGGGGGAGCAGAAGAGGTAAATTGAAAGCAGAGAAAACAACCCTGGAGCTGAGCTAGTAGCTTATTTTTTTGCCCCGTCTCACAGGGATGTATGAGCTGTCATGCCAGCACAACCCCCTTGTCATCAACGTGACCCATGGCCAAGAGGTCCTACACCACCGTGCTGCTTCAGTGCTGCTCAACTTCTCCTCCCCACTGGTGGGCATTGCAGCTGTGGCCTTGCGGACCTCAGCTCAGCCTGGCTTCTCTGACCCCACCATGTGCCTCCTGCAACACAAGGAGGGACACAGCCATCAGTGCTACAGGTATGCTCTCTTTGGGGTTCTTTCCAGCAGGCACTCAGAGTACCTCTCTCCTCTGGGGCTTTGTGCCTCACTTCTGGAGTTTTTGTCGACTCAGAGTGGCTTTGAGGTGTTGTTGGAAAATCCAGTGTAATGACTTGATTTGCTTATCTCACTGTGAGGGGAGAAGGCAGGAAAATAGATTTTGTGTGGTGCCCGTGCATCTGCACAAAACTGCATTAAAAGACTGTTCTATGGTGGGAAAGCCAAGCTCCTTCTGCTGAGTTCTTGCTGAGCATTGCTGCTGAAGCTGTTTGAGAGGCTCCATGTCCATCCAATCCAGTCTTCCCCACACTGCAGGAGGTGGGGATGAAAATGTCATTGTCATCGTCCTCATCCTCGTCCTCCTTGTCCTCGTCCTCCTCCTCCTCCTCTGCTGCTGCTGCTGTCTGTGCTGGCTCCCCATCTATCCCAGGCTCCTCACCAAGTCTCACGCTGCCCCCATTGTAATGCAGCGATAACAATAATAGTGGCAAGGGCACTTTTATTTATTGATGTCCAGCACTCACAGGCCTCTGCCTGTCTTCATAAAGCAGCAAACGAGAGGCGTCGTTTGCAGAATGGGCACTGCTCTCTGAGCAGGTCCTGCTGGATGCAAAGGGGCTGTTGTCCAAAATAGACTAAATAAACAAGGCAGAAAGAGCATGCTGAGCAGAGGCGCAGACCCAAGGAAGAATGGAATGATGGTACTCAGCTCTGTCCTAGAGGGGTAGTAGAGCTGACATCAGCCAGACCTGCCAAGTCTGTCTTTGCTTTTGGATCCCAGGCTCCCTAAAGTTAAAAGCATGATGATCCAGAGCTCTGGTTCAGCCAATTACTCAAACCACACCACTGGGAATACTGATTTTGGGTCCAAGCTTTGCTGGAGTTGTGGAGGCATTAAGAGTAAAGGGCTTTGGCTAGGGTCATTGCATCACTGCTACTGTCATTTTTCTTCTGTTGATTCCATGGATGGACAAACATTCCTAATAATAAGTGTGTGTGTGTTTGTTTAAAAGGTTGGGGGATCATGATACAACTGATTTATATAGAGTTCTGGAAGCTGTGAATATTCTGCTGTTGCTTTTTACTTTTTTTTTTTTTTTAAGTCATGTGTGATTTATACAGAAACATAAATCTCAGTGAGTCAGCATATAAATATTATTCTCAGCCTTACATTAAAGGATCAGCGTCCACCTGAAATGCAGTCTGTTTCCTCCTGGTAGCCATTACAACTATGTACACACATGCCTCTAAGACCCCAGCCAACTGATGTGGTTTTTCAATTACATTTTCTCATCCTTTAAAATAATTTTGCACTCTCATTGCTTGAGAGCTTCCCCCTCCCCCTCAGAAGTGACTGCAAGGAAGAATAGATTGACCAGACACAGCTAAGCATTGCCTGTGGATGAGGAGAAGCTCATATAGGGACAAACGGAGAGGAAAATAGATGGGTTTCTCTTAAAAGTCTCATTATAGCTGAAGCACAAGCCAGTTCCCATATCACCAAAGTGCACAGAGCTGCATGCTGTCCCCTTTGCGTGGGCGCAGCAGAACCCAGCAGGATCCTCGTGTCTTCTCCTCCCCTCACTGCTGTCCTGCAGGCTCCCTGTGGCCTTGGCTTAGCTGTGGTATGCTGAATTGCAGGTTACATATATGCCCTTAGCAAACACTCAGAAGAAATCAGATCCCCAGAGTTTTCAGAGTAGGAAATGCTATTTATAGTCTTTCTTTTCTGGGGGGGGGGGGGGGGGAGTATTAGTTATTAGTTCCTTTATTATTAGCCTCACTAATAATAAAGGAACTGCCACTAAGTACGAAACATCCAAGTATCCCCCACTTATTATATTTTACAAATCTATTTCATCTCCAAAACTAATGTACAGAAGTATTTTTATTTTTAAGGGCTAATAATCTATTTCATATAAGGCAGGTGGAGTCTGGGGAAAAAATTCTCTATAAAAATCCAGGAATGTAAAATCTTAAGTTTTGAGACATTTGACTGTAAAAGATCACAAATCATCTGTGTTATTCCTGTACAGAATTGAGCTGACCATACATGCACCCAGACTCATATACACAGTATGTGCATGTGAGTGCTTTCCTAAAATAACCCAAGAAAGGCATAACAAAAGCAACAAAGAAACAAGGTTTCCTGACTTCAGCTTAGAAATGCGTGTTGCCAAAATAATAAATATATGATGGCTTGGTATTTCTGTAGTGTCATTCATCTTGAAGGATTTCAAAGTGCTTTGCTGGCTGGGGAAAACAAAGAGATCATGGTTTTGCTGATGAAATGCAGCCATCTCCAGCTCAGGATGCAGCAGGCCTTTGATGCTAGAAAAGTACATTCTTGTTTTGAAAAAAGAGTTGCCTTTTGCTTTCGGACCTGCTTGAGGCACTGAAGGTTAGGAGAGCACTTGCTGAGCAAAGCAGCGTGGTGTCCCTCCCTCACACCTTGCTACTGGCACCAGAAACCCCTCTCCACTGTCTGCCAGCAGCTCGGGGCTCTTTGCTTTCTGTGCCCTATCACAGGTTTATGAGGTCAAGAAGAAATCAGACTTCTTGTGGGTTTCCACCCAGGAAACTCAAACTCTCCAGCTCTTTTTTTTCTTTGTATTTTAAAACAGAGCCACAGTCCCTCCTGTTTTCCTTGGTGTACAGGCTATATGCTGAACCAGGGGAACATTGTTGATCTCCTCTGTTATGTTTAGTTTTAGTTTGGTTTTAGTGTGGTTTATTTTATGTTAGCATGTGCTGGGAAATTCCTTGGCAAATTAACAGGAAAGGTGTTACAAAATGCAATCTGTATTGTGTTTTTATTTCCTGTGTGAGTGCCCTCCTTTGCTTCCCCAAAAGTGGGTTTAATGCATCAAGGGGAGTCTGGTTTGAATTCCTTTTATATGGAAAGTGGATGTCAGGGAGAGAAAATCAGATGAAGGGGGGGGATTGTTTACATATTTTCAATTGCTGAACTTTGTTCAGCAAAGAGAAGAGGGCCATTTCCCAAGCAGGTTTTATTTGGTTTGTTTTCTTTCTTCCAGACACCAAATCTATGCACAGTCAATTTATGAACTGCATCTGTGCTGGTGTGAAAATCTATGGGGGCCCTGGGCAGAGATACTGGTGTTTCATTTCCTTCCCTCTGGCCTAGGCTGCCCCATGGTCAGGGACCATGCACGAAGGGGATGGACCCTTATGTTGGGATTCCAGGATCATGTCCGATGGGCTGAGGAATGCTCGGGCCAAGGTGTACCTCCATCTCCACTCTGTCCTCCCAGCCAGAGTCTGCTCAGGCTCTGCTTGCACACGCAGTGCAGCCAGCATCGAGCATCGACTGCTGTGAGGACAGCATATATTGCCTAGACATCTGTTCCCTGCATCTCCCAGGCAAGTGCAGCCTCCTGGCTGCAGCACAATGCCCATTAGAGCAGGCTGTGTCTGTACTGCACCATGCACATTCTCTCTCCTCGGTCTGGAGGAAAAGACCTCTCAAGAACCAAGCCTAGGACCCTGATCACAACTTTTCCTGGTGTATGAGCTCACCTCAGCCTTTGCCTCTGCCCTTGAGACTTCTCCGGCATCAAAGGCTGTTGACTTCTGGTGCTTCTCTTGTGCGTCCCTGACTGGCTGATGGGCAGTGGTGGCCAAGGATGTACTGTAGGATTTGATCATTTGCTTCAACTGTGGCTTCACTGTCCAGCTGGAGGGTGAAAAGTAAAACCGTTGGAGGTGCAGAGACTATTTTCATGGGCTGCCCCATTCTATTTGCTCTCTGCAGCCTAGTCAGCTTCTTGAGTTTAATACTTTGTATAGGTTGGGGTTTTTTTTAGGACGCTCAAGGCATCTTCTGTCTTTCCCTGAGACTAGCCAGTCTCACCTAGAAAAAAAAAATCTCCCAACACAAAAGTTTTTCACCAGTTTGATCTTGAGTCAGTCACAGCATCTGAACAGCTTAGAAAAAGGGTGCTTGGTGTCACTTCATGGAAAGGGCCACCCTGTCTGATAAACTTGTTCCAAGTATGTCCAACCCCCGATACATTGCGGGAAGGTGAATCACAACACAGAGCAGTTGTGTGAGGTGTAAGGCAGGTTTCCTTCCTGACCCCAGCACAGCTCCTGGTGAAACCCTGAAGCTTGATTTTGATTCCTTGTTCTCCTACCTGTTGGGCATTACGTGAACCACACAAAGCCTTCTGTCCATCCTGTGTCCAGCGAAGAATGCAACAAGTGCTGGGAGACCCTGAGGTTTGTCTGCAGAGCCTTGGTGTACCACTGCAGCCAGCCTGCCCTTGTTCTGCCCTGGATTCCCTAACATTATGTACAGGCAATAGCATTTTTTGCAGAAACTGGACTGAATGTGTCCTTTGGAAGGATCTCTTATTTCATGTTACCAGCTCTAGGAGGTGATGAGTCCACCATCTCCCCTGCTGAGTATTCTTCTATCTAGTAACCCTCTCTGCTGAGAAGTTGCCTCTGATTTCAAGTTGAAAGTTGTTGCTTCTGCTCCATCCTTGTCAGAAAGGTCTAAATGCCTCCTGCCAGAGATTACTTGTCTGTAGATATGTCTGTACAGAATGATCAGATTCTCTCACTATCTTCTCTGTCATGATAAATATTTTTTCCTCCTTAAATCTTATAGCATAAGTCTTGCAGTCCAGCTATGACTTCTGCTTGAAGCTCCCTTTTGAAACCCCTCCACTACTTTTATGTCTTGCTGGTAGATGTGGATCAGAAGTTAATTTCTCTGGAAAAGATAGGAGGTGCCAGAAATGAAGTACAGTGTGTTGCCATGGGGAATTGGATATGGTTAAAGGTGGTGTTTGGGATAGCTGAATATGCACCCTTGAGGAATACTGGCAGATAAATCCTACCTGCATGCTGGCCTCATGATGGGCAGGTGGGCCATCTGCCTTCAGGAAGGAGTTAGGCCAACTCCTTTCAGGAGTGATGAAGGTACAGTCTGTCCTGCCTCAGGCTGAGAA